TTAATTGGTGTGTGCGGCACTGCTGCTGCTTCTTTTTCTTCTTCACCAGCAGCAGCAACATTCTTCTTGATCGACTCATTAGAGAGGACGACGCCAAACAACGACGCAAGTCACAGCGTGTACTCCTCATTTGAAGAGAGCAAAGCATTTGTGTGTTAGGCTGCTTTCACCATTTGACTGTCTAGACACACAAACACAAACATTCTGGCAGTGGCTTTCGCAGACAGACGGCAAACTCTGTGTGTTCTCATCACCATCGACGTTTGCCAGTCAGTCATCGCAGTCCCAATCCACTGATTCATTGAGGGCGACTAAACTTGACCTCCCTTCTCCCCTCCGACTACGATGTTCACCATTGAAGGCTAAAATGTACCTCTCGGCACCGTATGAGGACTTTCCCGCTCACCACTACTCGGCGGCGGCGGCGGCAGCAGTGTACCACCACCGAACAGCGGCGGCGGCGGCGATCACTCCAAAGTCCACCAAAGTCAATGGTGGCGGTGGTGGAGGTGGAATGGTAATGGACAAGCCGATTCGCACTGTCGACGACGTCATCAAGAGCTTCACCGTCGGCTACAACGGCAGCAGCAGCGGCAGTTGTGGTGGGGGAATGACTGAGACCACAGCTGAACAAGAGGAACTTCGGCACTCCTACGCCGATCATCACCATCACCACCCTCATCACTTGCAGTTTAGTCAGCACGCTTCGACGACCAACGGATTTGCAGTGCATCACCGACAGAACAGCAGCAGTTCACTGTACAGTATGCAGCAGCAGCAGCAGCAGCAGAATCAAAGTCTTTCTGCAACAGGTCACCACCACCCCNAGGAACTTCGGCACTCCTACGCCGATCATCACCATCACCACCCTCATCACTTGCAGTTTAGTCAGCACGCTTCGACGACCAACGGATTTGCAGTGCATCACCGACAGAACAGCAGCAGTTCACTGTACAGTATGCAGCAGCAGCAGCAGCAGCAGAATCAAAGTCTTTCTGCAACAGGTCACCACCACCCCCACCTGACTAGTCATCAGCCGTACACGTTGGTGTCCAGGCCGTCGTACAAAGAGGCTGAACAGCAGCAGCAACAGCAGATGTGGCACAGTGGTCTGGCCTCTCAAGATCAGTTTGGCTCTTATCATCACCAGCAACAGCAGCAGCAGCAGCTTCATCAGCTTCACCAGAACCAGCAGCAGCAACAACAGAATCAGCAGCAGCAACAGAATCAGCCTTGCTGTGAGACAATCTTTCTCCAGCAGCCTCCTCCTCCTTCTCCCCATCAGCAGAATCGTGGTCACCTTCAATATTCACATCATTCTGAGCCTCCTCCTCCTCGATACGGCAGCATCGATCCGCCACCTTCTCTGGAGCCGGCCAAGTATCACCATCTCCCTCACCACCAAAACCACCAAAACCAGCAGCAGCATCATCATCAACGATCAAGCAGTCATCATAACCATCATCACCACCACAACCACCACCATCACCCCCAAAACCAAGCGTACCCCAACTTTCACCGACACTCCTCCACTTCATCCTCCTCCTCCTCCTCCTGCTCTTCAGACTCCTCTTCGACGTCCTCGTCGCCGGTCAGCGGCTGTACGGCTGCTCTTCAGCAGCACCATCATCACCATCAACAGCAGCCGCCTCATTATCGAGGTGGAACCTTCTACTCAGGTACCACTTTTTTCGCTTATCAATAACGGAGAGTAATGAATGAATGAATGAATGAATGAATTTGCGAGAAAGAGAGTGAGAACGAAATGAGGTTGTAAGGGTCAGCCTGGACTGATGACCTTTTTGTTGTTGGCGGGCGGGCTTTCTGTTTGCTCATCACCTTCCTGACGCAAACTCGGATCTCGATGTTGATCTTCTTCTTCTCTTNATGAATTTGCGAGAAAGAGAGTGAGAACGAAATGAGGTTGTAAGGGTCAGCCTGGACTGATGACCTTTTTGTTGTTGGCGAGCGGGCATTTTGTTTGCTCATCACCTTCCTGACGCAAACTCGGATCTCGATGTTGATCTTCTCCTTCTCTTTGCTTCTCTTTTGCTTTTTCAACTTTCTCATCTTCTCGTCTGTTATACTACCCAATATTTGCCCAATGATAAGCAGCAATTGTAGTGCTGTGGTGTGGCGTCACAGAAAAAGAGAGAGAATTTCAACATCGGGTCTCTCTGACGTGATCCCGACCATTCTCTCTCTCTCTCTCTCTCTCACCGCCCACACCTCAACTTTGACAGTCGATTTAATCCTCACTATTTTTCTCTGGAAGTGGCGAGAGTTCTCCTGCTCCTCCTGGTTCTGTTCTGTNCTTTGCTTCTCTTTTGCTTTTTCAACTTTCTCATCTTCTCGTCTGTTATACTACCCAATATTTGCCCAATGATAAGCAGCAATTGTAGTGCTGTGGTGTGGCGTCACAGAAAAAGAGAGAGAATTTCAACATCGGGTCTCTCTGACGTGATCCCGACCATTCTCTCTCTCTCTCTCTCTCTCACCGCCCACACCTCAACTTTGACAGTCGATTTAATCCTCACTATTTTTCTCTGGAAGTGGCGAGAGTTCTCCTGCTCCTCCTGGTTCTGTTCTGTTCTGCTCGTCTGTTCTTCTTTCATTTTTCCTTCCGACAGTGGCTGGCTGATATCGAGTTACTAGTGGAAGGGAGAAGAGTATATTACCTGTTTCTAGTGGCTAATGTTTTTGTTTGTCAGGCCAGGCCGATCCGACCCTGTTTTGAGCGCCCGTTCCTTTGTCCGATTAGATTGATGGTACATTGTGGTGGACGTTTCCAGTACATCCCTTCTCCTGCCAGAGCCACCACCACCACCTCCGAACCGCTCTAGAGCCAACAATCGCTCTAATTGCCTGGTGTTTTTGTATGTGCCCCCTTTTTGTGTGCCTGCTGCTGTGCTGTGCTGTGTTTGCTTTGGCGGCCCTTGTCCAGAGCTCAGTTCCTAGAACCGTTTCGCTAAACGTTGTTTGGCCTTCTCATTGCTCTGCATGGCAGCAGCAGCAGCAGCTAAGGCACTTGCTTGGTTTGCCTTTGTTTTGTCGTCGATTGACAGACAGACTGTGTCTTGAGAGATTGTGTCTATTGGGCTCTTCTGTCCTCTCTCTCTCTCATTTTTTCTTATTTCTTTCAGTACTGAAGCCTTCTTCTAATCTAACGTCAACTGTTCAACAGCTTCATTCCTCTGATAGCGTCACTTTTTCACTTTTACTCTCACTTTTCGAGGCCAAACACAGATGTGCACTGACAATTGGGCAAACTTGGTGGGGCACACTTGAATCTTCTCTCTCTCTCTCTCTCTCTCTCTCTCNTCTTTCTCTGCTATCGTGTTCTATCTATCAATACAGCCAGTCAGTCAGACAGACAGTCAATGGGCCGATAAGTGGTGCGTGTTTCGGTGCATTGCCATTGGAATGGCTGGCTGGAGGCAGAGGCACTGTGTTCGAGTTTGACAGACAGACAGAGACGGCAAGTGGATGATGATGGACCGGCGTCATTTTGATGCAGCATGCCATCAGAGAGAGAGAGAGAGAGAGAGAGAGAGAGAGAGAGAGCATCCACAACAAAAGTGAAGAGAGAGGTTCGCTGTTTTGCTATGTTTTTCTGATGTAACCGAACACCGGTTCATACAGGCTGCCTGCCTGCCTGCCTGGTAGTACTGAACTGGCCAGCCATTACATTAATTGCCTGGCAGTGCAATCACTCGCATTCACTTTCGGTTTCTGGCTAGCTCTCTGCTCTGCTCGCTTTGACTAATGAAGTTCCATAGTCGGAGCAGAAAACAAGAAATAGTAGTAGTTGATGGTGGCGTAAATGTCAGCCCACTGAGGCGTAGGAGAGAGAGAGCAAATGTCTCCTAAAATACTATAGGTATTTCGGAAATTGGTTCGTGATGTGTTGTGTTGTGCGTTATCTCATCATCGTCAGTCACCTAACGTCATTTGTAGCTCAACTTAGCTCTTTTTGCGGCGTATCGAATCTATTTAGGAATTATCTAGATTTAGAACTAGAATTGGACACTAGAATGACCACTGATCGAGATCATCAGCAGCATCAGCAGCAGCAGATGGCCCTCCTTGAGCGACCGTCCTCACTAGACAGTCATCACCAACTCCTCCTGTCCTTAACCTTGGACACCTTTCTAACTCAATCATCCTCTTCTTTCTTCTCACTTTCAGCAAACAACGCCGGTGGTAACAATGGCGGCTCGGGAGCGAACTCGCTGGCCACCTCGCCCAGCTCCAGCAGCAACAACGCCTTCAGTCCCTATCCGACGGCGAGCAGCAGCTCGGTGGCCGGCGTCAGCAGCTCCTATGGAGTGGGCAGCTCCTCAGGAGGTGTAAATAGTGGTGGCTCCGTTTCCGTGGGCAGTCCGCAGTCGACGACGGCTCCAGGCGGAGGAGGAGGCGGCGGCGGAAACGGAAGTGGAGGAGGCAATGGAAGTGCCGGAGGTCCAAACAGCTCCGGCGTCTATCCGCCCAATCATCCGCTGAGCGGTTCGAAGCACCTCTGCTCGATCTGTGGAGATCGAGCCTCGGGAAAGCACTATGGCGTATACAGGTATAAGAGAGAGAGAGAGAGAGAGAGAGGAAGAGGTTTTGGAGTTGATTTTGTTCTAAATTCTGACTTTCTCTTTTCCCATAGCTGCGAAGGCTGCAAGGGCTTCTTCAAGCGCACCGTCCGCAAGGACCTGACGTACGTCTGCCGGGAGGAGAAGGCCTGCATCATTGACAAGAAGCAGCGCAATCGGTGTCAGTACTGTCGGTAGGTAGTGCCGGGGAGAGCTTTAATTTACAATTAAAACCTGTCTTTTCTAACCAACACTCTAATCACCTCAGGTACCAGAAGTGCCTGCACTGCGGCATGAAGCGCGAGGCGGTGCAGGAGGAACGGCAGCGCACCAAGGAGCGCAATGAAAACGAGGTGGAGAGCACCAGCAGCAATGGCATCTCCTCGGGAGGAGGAGGAGGACTAATTTCCGGATCTTCCATTTCCGGAAGCAGTGGCGGTGGCCTTCCGCTGGGACCGAGCAATGCCGTCAACAGCACCTCCCCAACCGGGCCCTCCTCCTCCTCTTCCAACACCGCCTCCTCCTCCATCTCAATTCATCATCAGCAGCAGCAGCAGTTGAATCAGCCGAACCAGATCGGCCTGCTCTCCTCTTCCGCCCCTTNGGAGGAGGAGGACTAATTTCCGGATCTTCCATTTCCGGAAGCAGTGGCGGTGGCCTTCCGCTGGGACCGAGCAATGCCGTCAACAGCACCTCCCCAACCGGGCCCTCCTCCTCCTCTTCCAACACCACCTCCTCCTCCATCTCAATTCATCAGCAGCAGCAGCAGCAGTTGAATCAGCCGAACCAGATCGGCCTGCTGTCCTCTTCTGCGCCCNCATCTCAATTCATCATCAGCAGCAGCAGCAGTTGAATCAGCCGAACCAGATCGGCCTGCTCTCCTCTTCCGCCCCTTCTTCACTTTCTGCACTGAACATCAGCCCCAACTACAGCCACGAAGCTCTGCTGGCTGCTATAAATGAGGCGGAGATGCGCATCGACGTCCGCCTGAAGCGAGAACGGGCCGCCGACATCACCTCCGCCGTGCGCACCCAAATCAAGCAGATGTTTGAGTGGGCGAAGGCGGTGCCCCNTTCTTCACTTTCTGCACTGAACATCAGCCCCAACTACAGCCACGAAGCTCTGCTGGCTGCTATAAATGAGGCGGAGATGCGCATCGACGTCCGCCTGAAGCGAGAACGGGCCGCCGACATTACCTCCGCCGTGCGCACCCAAATCAAGCAGATGTTTGAGTGGGCGAAGGCGGTGCCCCACTTCACCGACCTCTACCTGGAGGACCAGTGCAGTCTGGTGAAGGCGGGCTGGAATGAGCTGCTCATTGCGCAGTTTGCCCACCGCTCCATTGAGGCCCACTCCAATGTGCTAGTGCTCTCCAATGGCCTCTACATCAACGACCAGGGGGCGGCCAGCACCGGCATTGGGGAGATCTTTAGTCGGGTGCTGACGGAGCTGGTCAGCAAGATGAGGGAGATGGCGATGGACAAGACGGAGTTG